TGAAGGCTTCTCATCTGAATCAACAATTCTCAACAATTTTATGAGAGGAGATACAATTTTCACAACTTGATAACAATCATTCCAAAACCGATTGTCCAATATGATTGCACTAAAATTTTTTCCTGCTTCAGTCCTTGATAATTTGTGGTCCACAAAGTGTTTATCAACAACTAAAGCTTGCAAGTCATTCTTGTGCATATATATGCTGTGCAATGTAATAAATGTGGTAGCAAACCTCGTGGCACCAGGACGCACAATTTCTTTCCAAGTTGGTCTTCTCCTCAACCACGATAAGAAAACCATATGATTATATGCAAATACAGTTATCTTTGATGCCTTTGATGCGAGGTCTGACACATGAGGCATGCTTGAAAAGTCTTTCAATACAAGATTCAAACAATGTGCAGCACAAGGTGACCAATAAATACTTTTATACTTCTCTTTAATCAATCTACCACATGCTACATAGTTAGCTGCATTGTCAGTCACCACATGAACAATATTTTTAGGACCAATCCACTCAATGACTTCAGAAAATAGTGTGAATAGAGTTTTGGCATCTTTAACTAGATCTGATGCATCAACAGACTTCACAAATACCATACCATGTGTAGAATACACTAAGAAGTTTATCAAGGTACGCTGTCTAACATCAGTCCATCCATCAGCCATGAGTGTGCAACCATTGTTTTTCCATTTAGCACGATGGCTATCAATGAGTAACTGACATTCTTTTCTCCAGTCACTCAACAAGTTAGTTTTAAAATCATAAGCACTAGGAGCTTTAAACCCAGGCCCTATTGAAGCAATGCCATCCACAGCCTTTTGAAATAAAGGACAATCAAATGCCTTAAACGGAATGCAGTTTACAATAGCCCATTCAGCAATCAACATTTTCACATTATGCTTTGCTTCTTTAGTTGCTAATGCACTCTTAATGCCAGGTTAGGAATCAGGAGTTGTCCTAGGAGCAAAAAAATTGTCTATGCTCCCAGAAGCTTTCCTCTTCCTCACACTACTTGTGACATTTGGTGATTCAACATGAGTTTCTTCGACTTCCTCTTCTATGTTTTCAATAGTTTTCTTCTTTGACCCTTCTTTTAAAGACTCTGTCATTCTATAACGTACATCATGTGGAACTTTTTTACAAGCAGCTATTTGACCAACAGTGCCAGCAAGATGTTGCTTCATCCTATTTATTCCACCTCCTCTATAACTATTAGTACAAAAAAGACACGTATATATATTTTGTGTTCCTTCTTTTTTGTACGCAATATGTGCCCATGCTGGATCAGTTTTGGCACGTAATGAGGATGTGGGTGTGGAGGTTTCGGTAGGAGGATTTGAAGATCCAGTATTAGGAGTCATGTTGTCATTTCCAGAACTTTGGTTATTTGAAATATCCATCACTGCTACTAAAAAAACAAATCAAAAGCTTAATAATTAATATAACATCTGAACATCGGTTATTTGATTATTTCTCATCTGAACATCGCAGCAGCCATAACACAAAGAACATAACACCACAACTCCATATGATTAATATAAACCCACAACTCGCAGTACTAATATGCTACTATGGAAAATTGACTAAATTCAATCTATTATTTCCAGATAGTCTAGCAATCTAACACCACAACTGCACATGAAGTATTATTTCCAGATAGTCTAGCAATCTAACACCACAACTCCATACGAAGCAGCACGGAAAAATAAAAAATGACAGACAGGCAGAGAATCCAAACTCAAACGAAAAATCAAACCAGAAATTTAATAGATTATCACCCTCAATCCAAGTTCAAACGAAAATAAGAGTGGCCGAGAGATCAGAGAGACAGAGACGGAGAGCTCAAACCGAGTCAAACGAAATTGGGAGTCTAGACGAGCAGCTTCAGGCGAGGCGACGGCAGGACGAGCAGCTTCAGGCAGGGCACCGACCAGCTTCAGGCGAGGCAGGGGAAGACGCGGCGACGGTGCAAGCTTCAGTGAGCTGAGCTGGGAGATTCAGTGAGGCGACGGCGGTGAGATTCAGTGAGCTGGTACCGAGACGGGACAGTGAGCACACGGCGACGGCGGCGAGGTTCACTAAGCACACGGCGACGGCGGCTGGGACTGAGGATTAGGAAGGAGCTGCCGAGATGGTTTTGCCGTTTTGGAGACCGAATGAGGAAGGACCGAAGGAGACGGGTTGAGCGGTCGAGGTCAAGCTGGTCTGGGTTCGATTTTTTTTTTTTTTAATAAAACGCCGTCGTTTTGGGTCTCTGGAGGGGGAAATGATCTAAACCGGCTGAATCACCTAAACCGGCGGTTTACCCGGTTTTACACCGGTTCATACCGGCTCAACCGGTTCACCACCGGTTTAACCCCTGGCCGGTTCTTGGCTTATTCCGGACCGGACAACAGGCCGGTTCACCGGTTGAACCGGCCGGTCCGGTCCGGTTTTTTTTTCCATGGTACTGCCTAACATCGTATACTAAGACTTTGCACTCTAGTGGAGGGGATAAATGGCCAACCAAGAAAAGCCCCACACTTCTATTCAGGACAAGGGCCAAGCGATATGTACGGGGAGCAGAGATCAATAACTGGTTACACAAAGTGAAGCCTCTTCCGCATTCGGTATTTCCTCTAATATAGTGCGTATATGTGAAAAATGAAGAATGAAATAGAAAGTAAAATAACACATAACTCTGAAATTGCAAAATAACCATGCCATCCAATATTGAAAAAAAAAAAAAAAACTCTTCTATTCCTATTTAAGAAAGAATTTTATCCTATTTGTAAGGCAGATACAGTATATATTTTGATTATTCACTTATTATTATATTGACTTTATTTTTACGAGATATAATATATATTAAATAGGAATAAAATGAAAAAAATATTGAATTTTAATATGAAGTTAATGAAATTTATGATTTTTTATGATCTATATAAAATATTGTGAAAACGGCTTATAAATAGTATGAGATGAGTTGATAATAAAATAATCCCTTAATTGCATATAATTCAAACCAAACTAGAGAGAGAGAGAGAGAACAAAACAGCTTGCAATTCAAAAATTGCCTTACGCACGCCTCAAATCAAATGGAGAAGCCAAGAAAAACAAGGCTTTACATTGTGGAGCTAATGAGCTATCAATCCACCAGTACCACTAGCAAAAACCATAATGTACGTACGAATTCTTAAATCTCTGACCAAAAGATCTGACTTGACCCTCAAACTAAAGTGATCTTCATTATTATCATTATTCTTCTCACGATGCGGTACTTTGGGCTTCCAAAAAGGCGTTAAATTCTTCTCTTGCCTTTCGCAATCGAGGAGTAACGCACGACGATGCAGGAGAAACCGGAGAAGACGGAGTCGAAAATCGAACATGGCGAGGCGACGCATCTGACTTTCTGCCGCCGCCGTTTCCTCTCGCGGTACCATTCTTGAGCACTCCTTTGATGTCCTTATTATCGAACACGAAAGCTGCCGCAACCGGCGAATGCGCATCCTCGCCGCCGGCGCCACATCTGATCAACTCCGACGGCAGATCGAAATAGGAACTAAGAGAGTCGTTTCCTTCCACCTGATCCAGTACTGGGTTTATGGCCCTGGGTGATGGAGCCCAGGAGCCACATTCAAACTTCTCCAAAGAAACTGTTCTTGATATTACACCATCAATACTCAAAGAATGTGATTCTTCCTTTTTAGGTCTCACTAGCTTAGCCTTTCCAAATCCTGGAATGTACAGACAACTGCATTTGAATCCTTTATCTGCAGGAGGAGGAGGATCAATGTTCTTGCGAGTAATAGCACTACTACTTCTCGGCGGACTGTCTTTCATGGCTTCAGGTTTCGTGAAGCTTCCATGGTGATGAATATTGGTGGTATCGTGTTTAATTACGGACCAAAGATCAAACTCATCTGAGGGTGGGCATGCTCTTCCTTCACCACACGACTTGCTCTTCTGTAAGCAAGATTCTGTAGGGCATGGGGGGGATTCTGGGCTATCAACATTGAATTTCTTCTTGGAAAGAACGGAGGCAAAGCGCGGCGAAGAGGCTGCAGAATTCGGTTGGCTGATGCTCAAGAACTTGGACTTCGGAGGCTGTAATGGTGGTGGAGAAGTAGCTACTTGTTGCTGTTTCAGGGACAAAGGATCCACTGCAATCTGCTTCTCTTGTTTTTGCAGGCTTTCTTTGATCATGGTTATAGCAGAATGATGAAGAAGATGATCCTCAGTTGTGAGCGTGGTGGCGTGCTTTCTGATGATAGGAATGGTTGCATCAGAAATCTGTGGCGCCATGGGAATGGAGTTTGGGAGAAGAAAGGCGGCTGCAACACTATTTATAGAGAAGAGAAGGAGAAAGGGAAGTGCGTGCAAAGCACGTCCATGCACGTCTCAATTAATCGTGGTGATCATGTTCCTATCTCTAAAATATGTCTAATCATAATATGACTTTGTCCCAAGGATGCCTTCACTGACGACTCATAAATAACAACTCTTTGTTAAAGAACTATAAATGTAAGCATTATTCCCCTATATAGAATAACAAAAAGGAATCTATGAGACTGTTCCTAGGAAAAATAGAAATTAAAATGTTAATTAGTTATGATAATGTGTGAATCAATAAAAACTGTTCAAATAAATGTTGCAAGTGGCAGTATCCTTATGCATTATTTAAATTGAGGATTCTTATTAGTTCTTTGCACCTCTTTGTGAAGAATGGGAAGGAGAAATTTTTTTCGTAACCTAATAACATGAAAACTCTCAGTTTGGTTTAATTCTTATAACTTCCTTTCTAATTCAAAATAATAAAAAAAATGAAATTTCTCATAATTAAAGGAAAATATCTTTGGTTAACATACACACATAGTCAATCTTTATTAGCTAGTGAACAACAACTCGAATATAGTAATAATGGGCAGCGCATGCACATGATAAAATAATGATGAAGACGTCCATAGAGAAAAATAATGTTAAAGATAAAATATGAAGTGGCCGGCATCAAATAGAAATACCCAAACGTGGACATAAGATACGCTGATGATTTCCATTGATAACAACTCGTGTTCGTACATTGAATTAACAATTCCTACTGGAGAGAGTTGTAAAACAAAATCAAAACTACAGATATTCCTATAATTATGGGAAAAGCCGTCACCAAATATAGCGCTCCATAACCCTGCAGGATAAAGAACCTCCTCAGCAGAAAAGCTCAAATTCTTTGGGGAAAAGAAAATGATTCTACACTTAATAATGACATCTAGGAACTCCTTATGGTGCACCAACATATTTGGACTGTTCATAGCCCAGAAAGTCTTGTGTCCTCCGATTAATTACTGCATGTTCATAAGTCAAACAATATATTGTGAAGGAACAATCATGGAGTGTAGAATTAACTGCAAATTTTAAACAAATCTATGTTTGCACTAAACGTTACATGAATCTATACACACAGCATTGTAACCCACACCAATTATAGTTTATGACAGAGGTCAGGCAAACAGAAGAATAGCAAAATATATTGGAGGAAGACTAGAAACTGACCACAGCAGGGGGCACTTCTGCGTCATCACTTCCCGTAGTCTCTTCAATTTCAGCAGCTGAATCCCAATCAATATTCAGTCTCTTTGCAGCCTCTTTAGGATTGATTCCCGTGTCAGTCGCTCTTGCATAGAGGGATTTGCCGGGCTTTGCCTTTGGGGCTTCGACCTAGACATTTTTTTTCCCCACAGGGAAAAATACAGTAATTACTAATTACTAATTAACATCAATTGAATAAGAAACCTGAGGAAGAATTATCTTTATAATTCCAAGTCAGTCACCTATATATGATAGCCGCAAATATGTATTTCACGAGTAGTTACATCATTTGAGAGGCATCTGATTCAACATACTGACATATCTAAAAGTACAAGCAAGAGACCCAGCAAGCATGTGTTTTCTATATCTAAATTAGTTTGGTAACGTGGCCACTTTTTCTTTTTTTCTTTTTTTTCTTTTAAATAAAGTATTGTAATTGGTCATGGCAAACCGACTTTTTTTACTGCAAAGTGCAAATTAAACACGCCACATTCTCAACTTAATTTCTTCATAATGTTGACCAATTCTGACTAGGCTGGAAACACAAAAGAGAAATTGGCTGTACAAGTAACCCGACAAACAGGCCATGACCATGCCAAAGAAACATGCTGGGAAAAGTGCAAATGGGTGGACTAAATGCTTTTAAGGACTTTAGGGCAGCCTTGCCACCATCGTCTCCTAAGTTTGGCTCTTTCATGGGTGGTCTAACTGCTGGAAGTCGCCCAACGTAACATGGGCCTATATGTCATTTAATTATTTTTATTCTTTTTATTATTTTATTCAGCCTAGGACTTAGTCGCTGCTTTCTGTCACGATTCTATAACGTTCAACGTATATTAGATTCTCCTAGATCCTTCGCTACGCTGGGCAGGCCTGTTGCCTAGGTATTTTTCTGCTAAACCTAATGAGTGAGGAGAGAATGATGCGGCTGCTCAATACAGTGGCCAGTAAACTTAATTAACCATGAAAAACTCACATTGACTGCGAGAGTAAACCCACATACAGGCTTTCTGGCCAAAAAAAAAAAAAACCCACATACAGGCCATGCTTCAAAACACATACCAAAAAGGTGCAAATGGGTGGACCAGCAACCCTAAAAACGGGGGACACCTTGCCATCCTCATCTCCCAAGTTTAGCTCTTGCCTCATTCTGCTGCTTCCAGATCCTTTAAGCTTGATTTGGAAAAGTAGTGTCTTCAATTCACTTAAAGAGTTTTACGTAGTAACATTAAGACACATGATTCATTGAATTTTTTTTTTCCATCTGATTTTGTTAACTTGCTTGATGTTTATACAAGACCATTGGGTAGGAGCTCAATTTCCCTTTGAACGGTATACGGTTTACATTATCACTGGAATCCTTGATTCAGGGGAGAGGATACTACAGTAAAGCAGGTGATAAGATGATTAATTCTAAGTTCATTTATTAGAATGCCTGAGCAAGAAAAAGCCAAGAAAATTTAAATGGTCATGCTAGGCTAAGGCTTTTATAGGGGGTTGTTAAAATTGTAAAATAGAAAATGTTCAAAAGGCCTTCGCAGTTCGCACATAGAAAGAAGAATGAAAAATGAGACCGACCAAGGAAACTTGACTCTTGAGACTTCAGATATAACTCATGCCAATTCAACACAGTTCTCAAATCTCAACTCAATTGCAATACTAGAAAGAAATATCTATGCTATCAAGGTAAGGTAGCAATGTCGGTGACTATGAGGCCATATTAAGATACACGGGCGTTGGTATCTTGAGAAGGTTTTATTTGGTAGGGACCCAATTTCCATCATTTAAAAAACTGTTGTACCGATGTACTACCTCCAATCCTTAATATAAGAGCTAGTTAACTAATTTGAATATATTAAAAAATTTGTTAAGTTAGTTATTTGTAATAAATAGATATTATCTTCCCTATAATATCCTTACTAATTATGTGTATTAGCTAGAATCACCATTTGATAGAACATTTAACATGTGTATCTATTATAAAGACTATTTGGAAAAAATAGATAAATATAAGAGACAAAGTAAATTGGGATCTTATATTTAGGACTAAATTGAATGTCAAACTAGCTTTTATATTAAAGACCGAAAGTAGTATTTTAAAAGACATTGGAAACATTAACCACCTCCATTTCACAGGACATTTTGGAGTGGCTATTATCACTTGTTTCAGTTTAAGCATGCCTTGTGTCCAAGAAAAGGAAGTGTCAGCAAACCTCTAAATTAGGCCATGAATTTAATTCCTCAGCTAGCATCTTGAGAGCAGCTTTATCCTTTGGGATTTTTCCTTCGTTCACCTACCAAATAAATGGTCACACTATTAACCCTTACGGAGAAGTCAAGTAAATAAAATTATGACCATACTAGTAACAATGTGTTAATCAATGGTGTCAAGGTGGTTTAACACAATTACTTCCAGTAGAAAGCAGATCTACAAGTCCGGTTTCATAGTTGGACATAGCATAGCCATAGAAGGCCAAACTTACTTCTTCCAGAACAGCAACTAGATCATCCCTTGTTGGGGCATCAGGATCTTCAATGCCAAGCAATCTTCTTCTCTCAACTTCTCTGGGGTCCTCAATCATTATTGTTAACTTAACCTATATATAGCAAAAAGAATCGCTGGATCATTATCGGCAAGGTCATAAAGACTATATAATTTGGGGGCGCAATGGGTAGTAAGCAAAAATAAAGTTTGGAGTAAAAAACAGGCCGAAACAGCATAATCGACCAAAAAACGTGGGAAAACTGAGGCCCTCCTCTGAAGGAACATGATGGAAATAAAAGCTTCTTAGACTATATCTTTTATATTTTAAAATTAAATTTTTTTTTCTCCCATTTCATCTCGTCTTTACTCAAGACACGTGCAAATCATAAGTAATTAAGCCATAAAGTAATGAGAATCTAAGCCAATCAAGAGGCAGCACACATGATAGAAGCCTCTATCCATTCCCCTGCCCCTTTTCCCACTCACTACTCCCAAGTTAAGATGCTTCCTTAGCAACCGAAACAAAGAAATTGTTCAAAATGGTTACAGCATGAAGCTAAAGGAACAAAACAAGTTGAAGTACCTCACCGAAGAGCATGTCCCTGTTTTTCCTCAGTAGCTCCAGCACCTACAAGCGCGCACGGAAATGCAATTAAGAAGCGGGAAGCGATTTGAAAGATCGATCACAGAAGGATTAGTAGTAGAGGGAGAACAAATTTCAGAATTCACAATATGATAAGATGTATACATACCGTTTTGATTCGGTCGATGTATTGAAGGTCTTCAGGGGTTGGGTCGGCATCCTCATCCTGCTCAGACGAGACGCGCAGTTCAGTGTCTTCCTTGCCCACAAGGGGCACAACAAGGGTGGATGAGCGTTGGCGATAGCGGACGGCAAGGCTGTGCCTTGGGAATGCTCCATTGCGAAACGGAGTACGGTGGAGGAACGCTGGAAGACGAGAAGACGAACGAGACGAGAAAGAAAGCGAAAGCGGCAACAATTGGGATGCCATGTCTAAGAATGTTTGCCTGCTACTATCATCTTCGGTTGGTTCCTGCTTCTTCCGTCACCAATTTCTCAAAAAAGATTCGATAATCTAATACTCAACCATCTACACATCTGAGGTATCACCCGGCTGCACAGCCATTAGCCCCCATCTTATCTTGGCCTCTTGGCTCAAAAAATAATATGCTCCCAGTAAACTAAGATATTAAAGATAAATAATTTTTTTAACAGAGAATAACAAGAAAAAAACTGAAAATTACAAATCCTAAATTAGGTTTGGTATTGTAATTTTATTTGATATTGATAAATCTGAATTTGTAAATGATAACAAATTTTTGTTGGGCATTCCTTATTTGGTGTTTATAAAATTTCAACTTCATTTTTTGTCATTGTCCCAAGTTTTTTTAAATTTCATCTTTTATATATTTATATGGATTTTTTAAATTTTGAATAATGAAAAATTTTCAAATTTATCCTATTTTTTCATTACGAGTTTATCTTGTTAAATAATTTGTGAAATATATATTTTATGCTTGAGTTTGTTATAAATTTAAGGTGCATTGTTAACGTCAATCATGAGGTAATCCAAGCATTTTACCTTTTTTTGGCCAGCAATTCAGGCATTTTACTGGCTGAGGTTTTTTTTCCCCCAACTAGCCGGGGCTCATGTATATTGCCAAAATTTGAGGTTTATGTAAATTAAATACAAATAAGAAACTATTGAAAGGTACTCCATCCACTCCTATTTATAGACTTCAAATTTTAAAAAATAGTATTTATTTTATAAGTTTTAATTTGAATTTGTCATAATTTTTTCATTTTGCTATTAACTATTTATTCTCTCTCATTTGTTATACTATCTCTTATCACATTTTCTAACACATTCTTTTTCACTATTTTTTATTTATTACAAGGATATATTTATAAGTAAAAGTATATTTTTAACTTACTTATTATTTTTAACTAATTTTAACTAATACTCTTTTGATTTTTTCTATAAAGCACTTCCAATATATTTTACACAGATCAAGTAAAAACTTAAATTGTATTAACTCTCTATTAAAATATAACAACTTTTCAACTTCATTCCTATTTAACACTATGCATCTTTTTTTAAAAAAATAATTATCTATGCTATAATAAATAAAAAACAAAATAGTAGATTCATGTTAAAATTTTAATGAAATTACTTATAAATGGGACGAAGAAAACTTTATCCCTCTATCCTATAAATAGGATCAGAGGATGAAACGCAAACAATGAGGTGAAACGATACATATTTATATTCTTTTTTTTTTCAACCAACATATTTATATTCTTATTTGAAAAATAAGTATTATATCTTTTAGTAAATAAAAAGTAAATTTTGGATATCAATATACTGCCTCCAATCCTTAATATAAGAAATAGATAATTAATTTGGGGATATTAAAAAAAATGAGTTGAATGAATTATTTGTGACAAATGTGTATTGATCTCTTTAAACTATCCTCTGCAATCATATGCATTGGATTATTAGAAGGGTTAAAGTGTATCCAACACCTCAAAGTATTTTCTCAAGTGCAACCAGCATTCTAAAGTATTTTGTGGTGCATCCAACACCTTGAAGTATTTTTTACGAGGGCCTAGCACCTTGAAGTATTTTTTTACTTAGGTGTTAGATGCACTAAAAAATATTTTTGGGTGCTGGATGCACCTAAAAAAATCTTTTGAGATGCTAGATGCACCAAAAAAATATTTTATGGTGCTAGATGCACATAAAAAAATATTTTTAGTACATTCCTTTTACAATAGATGAGTCAAAATTGATAAATTTGATATTCACAAATATTTTAATGTTATGAGTCTGTGTTTACTAGATTTTTAACCCGTTCAGTTTTTAACTACCATAATTTAATTTTAAATAATTAAAAATGCATTATTTCTTTTCACTTTCTTTTGATATATCTCCTGATTTTATTTACAAGGTATTTTCAATATGTTTTACATGAATTAAGAAAAGTCTTAAATTGTATTAACTCTCTATTAAAATCTAATAATTTTTTAATTTTATCGCTGTTTAATATATATACCTTTTGTAACAAAGGACAAAATAATATATTCATACTAAAAATTTAATGAAATAACTTATAACAGGAACAAGAAAAACCTTCTCTCTCTCTTTTTTTTATAAATATAACCAGAGAAATGCCGTGTTTTTATGTAAAATCAAAGTCTCCTAAATTTAAAACTCATCCTTGTCGGTTAACGGTAGATATTCTGATATTTATGGTTTATTTGGCATAGCATTTGTGAAGGAATAAGCCACTATTCACATTTCAAAAGTACGGCAATAGTTTAGCTCTTGTTTGGATTATTTGGGTGAGCAGTAGCTCTTAAGTCAAAAACTAATCTTAACGTATAATGGCCATAGGCCATTTTGAGTCAGCAGAGAGAAGAGAAAAAGACAACGAAGTCTATGAGTCCTGCTTATTTTAATTAAAATAAAAAAATAAAACCAAACTTTGTTCTCATTATTTTTAGCTCACCTATTTATTTTGTTTTTTTCTCAATATTTGTTAGGAAAAATTGCAAACAAAGACCCCTTAATATGTGAAATTATGATTTAAGACTCTTAATTTGAAAAATAACAAATAAAGACCCAGTTCCACTTTTGTAAATATGAAATCGTGGTGAAATCTCTAAAATATCCCTTAGCCAAATGACCAGTTTACTATGAAAAATGACAAGTTCACTTTAGCAAATGACAATTTCAGTGGACCAAATCACATGACTGTATGCAAATAACAAGTTGACTATAGGAAATGACAATTTACTTTAGCAAATGACAATTTCAGTAGATCAAATCACAATTAGCTGAGGCCATTTCAGATATTTCACTCACATTTCATATTTACAAAAATAAAATCAGGTCCTTATTTGCTATTTTGGAAATTCAAAGTCCCAAAATCGTAATTTTACATATTAGGGATTTTTATTTGTAATTTTCCCTATTTATTAAGTTAATAGGGATAAAAAAATACTTATTAATTATACCACAAGTGATTTCTTGTATTTAATAACAAATTTTTCCCTTCCAAGTGAATAATAAATAAGAACAAAGTGGAAATTTGATGCTTGCAAAAATGTCCTGAGAAGAAAAATTATATTATGTAAATTCATAATTTTTTCATTTTATATTATATAACAAAATTCATATCCATTTTGATAATTTTACAAACTAAAATTGTTATTCAATTATAACTCAAATAACTTTTATTTTTATCCCATCTAACTTTTTCAAACCCCAATCTAAATGTAAATCATACTAGTTCCGGTCATTAATATAAAAGTTAGTTGACTAATTTAAGTAGATTAAGAAATTAGTTAGGTTAGTTGTTTGTAATAAATAGGTGTTGTTTTTTCTAAAATATTCTTGCTAATCAAGTGTATTGACTAGAACTACTATTATTACAAAGATTACCTTGAAAAAAAAGATAAATATGAAACACAAAATAAATTGGAGTGTTATATTTAGGATCAAAATAAAAGTCAAATAAATTTTTATATTAAAGATTAGAGATAGTATTACCCAATCTAATTTTTCCAAAACAAAATGAAAATAAGTCAAACGAGCCCTTAATACCTAATACATATGCATTAAATAGTTGGGTTAAGGTCCATCGAGAATCTCGAAACATTTTTTCAGATATATCTAATATTTTAAAATATTTTATTGTGCATTAGCACCCTAAAATTTGTTAAAATGCATCTAACATCTTAAATATATATATATATATTACCTTGATACTAAATGCATCAAAAAATAAATTTTTGAATGTAAAACGCATTTTAAAAAAATATCATGAGGTATTAAGGACCTGTTTGCGAAAGCGTTTAAAAATATTTATAAATATATTTTATATAAATCGAGATAAAATTCTTCTTATATATTTATTTTATATTTTATAAATCATAATTAAAAAATTACTTATCAACTATTTGAAACGGGCCCCAAGTATATCAAAAAGCACTTCGTCAAGAAAAAGGCTGATGGGTCACCGAGAATATTTCGGGGGTCCTTGCTGGTCCTGAGCCATAAAGAGCTCGAGACCCTCTTCATCATACCGTTCTGGCGTTCTCGGGGCCCGATCACAATCGTTAAGCCGAGGCCGTTCTCTCTGGTTCGTTCTGGTGCTGGTGCTTCTCTCTCTCCAATTTTCCACACCTGCGCACTGCTTCTTTTGTAATCGTCTTCTGCGGAGCTTAGCTTCGTTGCTGTTTTCAGCCGTGTTTTGATCAATTGGAAATTTGCGGCAGCTGAAAAGAGTATTTTATTGGATGTGGCTTATTTGATGATTTTTGTTTGTCTACCTATCGCTGTTATTTCGCTCTCTTCGTGTCTGACTTGTTTGGCGATTTTATTGGATAGGAAAGTTGCTTCATTTTGTTCCACTTTTCGATGAATCCTAAAATCTGATTAAATATTCTTTATATTACTCTCTGCTGCTTCTTTTTTGTGTTGGCAGGATGTTAGATTTTTGCTGTAATGGTTGATAACGAAATGTTGGTAAAATGTGTGTTACTGCGGAGAATTTCGTAGGATCTCTTATTAACAGAAGTTTCGGTTTTTTTATACACCACTGTGCAAGTGACTTGAAACGAGAACTTCGCGGCTTGTATGTTTTAAATTTCATGATGTAACTGCCCGAAGGTTTTATTTAAATTCAATCGAATTATTTCATGGTCAGGGACGTAGGTTTAGAACACTCTGAAACGGAATGAAGCAATCAAAGGATCCATTTGAAGCAGCATATGAGGAGCAAGAGGATTCACCGCCAGAATCGCCAGATGAAGCATTTGAAACACAAAACCCTAGTGCTGTAGGCGCGCAGGGTACCTTCGTTGGCCAAGAAGATGACATCTCGAATAGTAATGGTACTAAAACGGCGGCCCAATTCACTCCGGCTACTAAATTTCTCTCAGCTGGGACTAGCAGCGGGCCCACGACCAATGCTGCTAAGAATAAAGAAGACGAGGATGAGGAGGAGGAAGAGAACATGGATGTTGAACTTGGCAAGCTCCCATCAAGCGGCGACCCTGATAAAATGGCCAAGATGCAGTAAGTGGACGCATCCTTTTTTGTTTTTTTTTTTGGGGGGGGTGTTTGTGTTTCAATTCAAAAAGCTCAGGGCTGATGGGATCACTGTAGTATTGATTTTTTTTTTCTTGCTTGGCTTGGCTGTGGAATCAAAATAAGAACTGCAAACCTAAAGTTTGCACTGTACAAATACGTGAGATCACTTAGTGAGTGTATATTCTGAATAAAAGGCATCGAAGGAGCAATAAAAAGAACTTTGTGAAGGTAGGATAGACACGTAGTTTTCCAAGAAGCTTTCTATATGTTACAACTCTTGTTCCATGTTTTTCTTTTGGTAGTATAGTTTGTTTTCCTGACCACGATTTATTTGTTTTGTTTGTTTGTTTATTAGAATATTTGTTTTTGTTTGTCTGTTTATTATAAGTTTGCATTTATAATTATTTTATATTCCTCTTGAAAATGTTGCATTTGCCTGCTGCATCAGGGCCATATTATCACGGTTCACTGAAGAACAAATGAGCAGATATGAGTCCTTTCGAAGGGCTGGATTTCAGAAAGCTAACATGAAAAGGGTATGTTTTTTATCCTGCTCTTTTTTATAGTCAAAATGCTCAGATTCTTTGTTCTGCTAAAGCTTAACTCTAATGAAGAGAGGTTAAAGTATTCTTTTATTAACTTCTACTTTCAATTTTTAATTTAGTCCAATAGCTGTAAAATTTGTATGAAGTCCTTAGAAGATTTAGCTAGACCCCTGTAAAACTGAGTGATTTGGACATATAAAATTATAAATTATAATTGCTGTGTTGGTAGGATGCTCAAAGTGCCACATATGACTATCTTTACCTCTTTCACCTAATACTCTTTGATCATCTCATCCAAAATTGTATGTTTGATTGCGAAAGGGCAAGGGAAAAGGAGAGGTAATGTAATGGAAATGACATTTGTACTTGTACATAAAAAGTCATAAAAATGGAATGGCTTTTTTTTCAAAAAAAAATTTTGGGAGAAAGGTTTGGGTTTTTTGTTTTTTTTGTTTTTGGGGGGGGTGTGGTCATGCCCAGAATGGTAAGAATCGCAACAAGCTGCTTGATGTCCAACAATGTGCTAATTCCAAATTCCTATGAAGAGTGGTTAGTGAAAGAGGGAAACTGGGAAAGTGAGTCACGTGCAGCAGTTTGACTGTGCCGGTGCAGTGCCAACATGGCAGTTATATATTTAGGTTAGTGGGTTTCAATTGAGATATAGCACAAGTTTGGTTACTAAGTTAAAACTTTTTTAAAACTTTATAAAACGCAATTAAAAAACTTTAAATTATATGGATCAAGTTAAAAATCAAGTAAATGTACAGGGACTATAAATAATTTAACTACAAGAGAATGAGTGCGGAAGGATCAAACTCTTGATAACTAGGGACTATAAATAATTTAACTCCAAGAGAATGAGTGCGGAAGGATCAAACTCTTGATAACTAGGGACTATAAATAATTTAACTCCCAGGAGAATGAGTGCGGAAGGATTAAACTCTTGATAACTTGGTCACAAAGGCTATGGTACATGGGTCATCTTAACTGAAATGATAAGCATTTAATCAGGTCCACGATTATTTTATTGATAACTCTTAAAACACACTTCTTCAAAAAGCCTTTGAGCTTCAAGTTCAAACCCAATATGCCTCGTGCCAAAATTAATTTACGGTTTAACCATGTCAAACAATCTGAAAATTTGAAATTAATCTGAGTGGTTTGAAACAACTTCCTTCTGGGATTTATGAGTTCCTGTTTCCATTTTTTCTTCTCGTTTTTCTTTAAGTTTAGTTTCTGTCACCTTTTACTGAAGTTGCTCACATGTTGCCCCTTTATGTTCTCCTTGATTGCAATGAGGCAGCTGTTAGCAAGCATTACCGGAACCCAGAAAATTTCTGTGCCAATGACGATTGTAGTGTCTGGGATAGCAAAGATGTTTGTCGGTGATGTTATTGAAACAGGTAATGGTAGTTTTGCTTCATAATCACAAGATGCTTCCTTTGTGAACAATAAATTATTCAAAAGAGGAACTGAAAGTTCGATTTATTCCCAATGTCATTCTCTAGAATCTCGGTGCATCTCACTGGTCTTATTACTCTGCTAATATGCTGGTTTCAACTATCTCCACCAATGAACAATCTATTTCTGTAGCTAGAATAGTCATGAAAGAGAGGAAAGAATCTGGGCCAATCCGGCCTTGCCATCTGAGAGAAGCATATAGGCGACTAAAGCTTGAAGGAAAAGTCTTCAAGAGACCAGCGTCTAGGCTCTTCCGATAGGTGGAGCAGATTGTGGATGTAATGTGATTGAAAGCAAAGCTGAACAGGTAGATAAAGTCTCTGCACTTTCATATTTCCTCATCCCGTAAATCCAGTTAATAATCCAATAATGCAATCTTGGAGGTAGTTTATTTAACGGTTAATGCACGCTGGACAGGAGGACAGGACACTTTTTTTTCCCGGTGGCAAAGAAGGTAGCAGCAAGAATTGAAGATCGAAAGAGTCGGGGTTTTGTCTTTGTGACAGCTTCTGTAGATAGAGTATTGATCATAGTTGCGTAATTATGTTGACATTTATTTTCAGCTGAAATGTGGTCTGAACAAATGTTACTTGTGGATAGTGTATTGAAGTATCATGGCAAAACGAAATTTGATGGTTCTCCGTCAATTAAAAAAAGAAAAAGACATCTGACGCTTGTTGAGCCTGCTATGACCCTGTAGACGTTTAATTGTATTTATATTCTTATGTAAGATTGATAGGGGGTTATATGATTTGCACAGACTATAAGATAAAAGGAGCATTGCAATTAGGTCCCACCCAAGAGAATTAAATACAAAAAGGTTTCTTGAAATCATGAAATTATTATGAAGTCTTAAGAGATTTTTTTGCAATAAATTTTATTTATTTAATTACTAAATTACTCTTTTTTTTTTTAAAGTTTGTATTGACAACTGAAAGAGTAGTGTTTAACAACTTAGGGTGTAAGGATTGACAACTATCGTGACTGGTTTGACAATATATTTTCTCAACATATCACACCCTACGTTGTCAAACCAGCCGCGATAGTTGTCAATTCTTGCATCCTAAGTTGTCAACCACCCAAGGGAATTAAATACAAAAAGATCTCTTAAAATCATGAAATTATTCTGAAGTCCTAAGAGATTTTTTTGCAATAAATTTTATTTGTTTAGTTACCAAATTATCTTTCTTTGTTTTTTTTTTAAAGTTTGTATTGACAATTGAAAGAGTAGTGTTTAACAACTTAAAGTGTAAGGATTGATAACTATCGTGGCTGGTTTGACAATACATTTTCTCAACATATCACACCCTAAGTTGTCAAACCAGTCGCGATAGTTATCAATTCTTGCATCCTAAGTTGTCAACCACTGCTCATTCAATTGTCAATGCAAAATTTTTTTTTTAAAAAAGAAGGATAATTTGATAATTAAACAAATAAAATTTATTACAAAAAAGTCCTTTAGGACTTCAGAATAATTTCATGATTTTAAAGGACTTTTTTGTACTTAATTCCCGTAGGTGGGACCTAATTGCAATTTTCCCTAAGATAAATAACACTGTTCAAGACTTCAATTGCTGTAGCTTTCACATTATATATAAATATACAAATTTTGATGTGTGCTTTATACTAAAAATTATTTGATAAAAATTTACATTGATATTGATTTTAAGAAAAAGGAAAGATTACCTGTATGTTTATATGTATAAGTTCCTTGAATTTTATTTAATACTTCTTTAGTTTGTAGTTTAAACTAGATTTTATGTTAGAGACGGGAGGCCGCACAAGTATGTCTTAATACTAATATGTTTTCAGAGGATTTAATATTTTATATGAAAGTTTGACTTGTAAATATGAAATCACTTGGGACGCACAGGTAGTAAATGAAATTTAAGCACCTATTTGTGTTCAATTATTATATGGAATTTATGGATAATTCTCTCTAAAGCGGGAACTAACGTGGCATCTCTAATTCATTTATAAAAGGATATGGCACAGTAAGCAAAGGAGAACAAATACGCTAGGTGTGTTGCACATCTTCTGTGATATGACTTCCGATAGAATTATCGAGATCCTTATATTTCTTCCTTTTCCCCGTGCGCATATTGAAAAGAATGAAAAAGTAATGCCGAAATATCTAATCCAAATATTTTCTTCACCTTCCCCCCCAGTTCTAACATACCTTTAACTAATACTACATTAGTCCAAAACTATACATAAATCATGATAAATAACACGAGCAAGAGACCTCTGAAATGTTTGGTTGCCAATAGAATTCGTTTGCGAACTACAAAATCATTTATCCCTTAACTAAGCCGGGATACTATAGTCCAATTCCAATGTAACCTCGTAAATGCTACATAACATGCTGAATACATTTACAACAAAAGGAACGCTACATAAATGCTACGGAAGGGAGGGAATTTAGAAGTGTACCCCAAAACAGGTAGATGGGTGACAATATCGGACAAGGTAACGGTTAATTCATTCAATTGGTTAATAATCATTTTTCTCATACTCCCAGGAATAAATTACAATGCTCTGGAACATTCTGGAGATAGAGGCCAGCGATTCTTGGACGTTAATCATGTTTGAATCCAAAGGAAGCATGGCATTACTACAGGCATCCGGAACAGTCCACAAAAATATACCGGCAATTCCTTGGATGCCCATCGTTTGATCTAAAATAAGCACAACGCTGCTTTCTCATCATGCTTTGCCTTTATGAAAATGAGTTGTTGCTTGACTTTGAATCCTTCAGGCTCTATAATCCCACACGACAATGTGTTTTGAAAACAGAATATAAATAATCAAAGCAATGCTAAATGAAAACCATTGCTGTGAACTTTGAAATGCACACCATTCAGGAATAACTAACATACCATTCGTTTGAAGGATCGGGTCTGTGATGTTATCTTTGAATCCTCAAAATCTGGCTTCGCGCGATCCAGCGCCTACAAAATAGCAATGCATGTTCTATCACGTTACACTAAGTAAACTTGAAGAACAGTGAAGGGTGATAAATCCCTCTTGAACACTGAATCTATGATTACCCAACAAGCAAAGGAGGGAAAAAAAAGAAGTGGAAGCTTTGTTAATCAAATCATGGATGCCCAAAAAAGCACTTTCTTCGATGACTCGAATAGATCTGTGCGAAAAATATTTTTATAATCACCAAACCACCACAATTTCATTATATTTTTGCTGAATCAAGGATATTCGTCTACAAAGTCTGACGAGCGATCAAACACAAAATTCAACTACTGAGAACCAGTCCCAGAGGTAAAATTGGACACTACCACAGTGGATAATTAGTGAGGGAAAAATGTGAGTTCACCTGAATCAAGGACTCCACTCGACGCCGCATCCGTGTATGCATAAATCCTTCAGAGCACTGTTATAAAAATGCAAGGTTAGAGCACTAAAAACCATAGAGGCTTTTGTTTAATAGCTTTGGCTTTTGGGTTAAAGTAGCCACTGATATAGTAGTAGAGCTTTATGAGCAAGTGGTTAGGATTTAGGACTCATGGACTACATTCTGTGACCCCCATACAAATTAAGTTTCAATATGAAGTATGGCCTCCTTAGTATATCCATCCATGACAAACGTCAGAATATTTTCTGATCAATCAAATAGAATGAGCACAAGGTATTTATGTACAAAGCAACATGTAGGTATCACTGATTTCTAGAATCATGGAATTCCACAACCACAACATAAACATGGAGCCCTCTTCATCCCAAGCATCAAACTTCAAGTCACCTAGTACTTGGTGTTTTATGATGTGTCATTCACTTCTGCTCAGTGTCATCCTAAGCTTTTCATCTTTAGTCGCCTTCCAAAGATCCCTCAATCAAAATACGTCATAGTAATGTTACAACACAACCAAGGCACTAACTTGTGCATTGCCTCAGCCATGAGAAAACCAAACATTACCAGCCCTTGTCTTTACAAGACATGAAATTATCACTGGACTTTTTTCCCTCTATATGCAGCCTTCATTACTTCTGAGATGTAACCCATTACCATTAATGGCTTTCATTGCTCTTTTTCCTTTCTAGTTGAACTCCAATTGTCTCCAAACACTCTTTATACATTTCATTGGGATAATGAAACTTTTGGTCCCTCAAGTTTGTCTCAATTATTAATTTGGCCCCTAAGTTTAATTTTTATCGACAAAGTCCCTAAAATTTCATGCACAATTTTATATTCCTATTTGATCTCATCTAACCAACCATTTTTTTCCTGCAATAAAGAGGCTGTCATCCCAGAATTAACGGTTAGACCATATTTGTGCTTAATATTGTATGTCTTCAAACCACAAGGACGAATTATGTATGATTATGAAAATTTGGAAACTTGACTGATGAAAATTAAACTTCAGGGACCAAACTGATAATTGAGGCAAATTTGAGGAATAAAAAATTTCATTACCCATTTCATTGCTATGATGACAACGTTTGCCAGATACTGACTTCGTTAGTCATGAATTCATTACCAGCGGGTGTTTTTCTTACTGTTTTTAGTCTTCATTACTACTATTTTTCTCTTTTATGTGGCCTACATAGTCATGTTTCTTTCACCAGCTTGTAAATGTGCTCGACAAGAAGTTACCTAGAATTTTCTTTCATAACTCAATCATCAGACTCGGCAAGAAGGAAATCCTTTCACCAGCTTGAGAGAGCATTAGGAGCGTTAGACTTGTAAATTGTAAATATATGAAAAGATATGTAAATATTATGCAATTAGTACAGGATTTGATATGATATTATTTCCTCATAATGAGCCATTAATGCATAGACTCCCCTCTCGTATATATATATGCATAGTCTGATCATGAATAATACAAGGAATTATTTCACAATTCTCTCTAGAATTAATATAAATAAAGTAAATATTTTAGTTCATTATTCTCAAATATTTTAGTCCATTGACTTGTAGCTTTGTCCCTTAAAAGTAGCCTTTCTTGTCCATAAATACCGATGGGCTTCGCCTATGCATGATGATAGGTGCAAAATTTTAGATGGGTCAGAGAAAACGCACCTTAACATGATAGCTAACATATGCATGAAAAGTTGATAAATTCCAGACTGTGCGATCTAATTTCTGGCCTTCTACATGACGGGGGAGGATAACTGCAGAGTTGAACACACATATTGCGGTGAAAGCAGCAAACGAATGACATGATGAAAAGATGTGAGTTTCAAAACACAAACCAAATGTTACAAATCCTGCATTTGCTGATAATGCATGTGCGGGTGCTTCTTTTAGTTCTGCTGGAGGAGAAAGAGACCATGAACAAGGGGGGGCATTATATAACCCACCTGTCCGCCTGGCTTCCACAAATTCCTAAATTATAATGAAAATTTAAAGTTTATACATTGAACCACCCAACAAAGGAGCAAAATACTGCACGAGAAAGCTTTTCAAGATTCAAGTTAAGCTTTCCTTTAGTTCGCTCTCCCTATTCTCTTTTAGCTCAGCAACTCTAATGAGATAAGGCATTAGCCGAAAAACTCTACCTGCAAGAAGGAAGTTGCAAGAACAATGTCTATGGAATCGTTGAATCTCATAGGATACACCACAATCACCTTGTCAGCCTGTCAAAAAAGGGAATATTTCATCATCTAAATTGAAGGTATGCTTTCCTCTCAAATAATTAACAGTAATAAACTAAAACAATGTAAAGATCAATATAGCAAGCACACAACATTATACATCGGCAAACCAAAAGACAGCGGATACTCTAAGAGATACTAGAATTGAAAAACCAGAACAAATTAGATTCTTCTATTTTAACATTTAATGAACAACTTCGTTATTTTCCTCTCCAATTTCTAATTTACCAGAAGAAAAACTGCAGGGAACAGACTATAGTTGCAGGTCTCAACAGCAAATGAAAAAAGAAATTGCGCATCACAACTGTGGTATTTGCTAGGTTGATTTGGACACTAGCATTTTTTTAAGAAATTTTATTAGAAAGAGAAGAATTTACAACTCGCCAGAGGTTAAGATACTCTCGTAAACCAGTAAGTACAATATTGGTTCAAAACAGAACACAGTTAACTAAGTGTACAAGAGCTGTTTATCTCTCTTCATTTTCCAAGAGTGTCCTCCCACCCAATTGGATAAAGATTAATCCCTTTTGTTTAGGAGTGTAACATGTAAAACAGTCCCTAAATTGCTGTCTCTAGGAATCAAACCATAGTCATTCCCCGGGGTTCAAACAACTGCTACCATTGCGCCCAACCATAACTCACATCTGGATAGTGAAGAATTGAGCATAACATGTTTCTGGAATACATAAGCACATTATACACATGGCAGGAGAAAAAACCAATTAGGCCAAAGTTTCTCCCTATTCTATTCAGATGCTCAGTATCTACTGTGTGGGCTTTTCTGGTACTCGTGAAGAAAGTATGATATGTCCTGCAAATATAAACCAAGTTTGACCTGCTCACTTAAGAGGCACCGGGAGTAGTAAGGAGGCTAGAGTTTTATGGAGTTGAACAATGCCTGCAGCAGTTCTGTCCTTATGATTGGAGCAAACTGACAGAATTTTCAACGATAAATTTATGATGCTGCCTCTCTTATACAATGTCAAGGAATCAGTTACCCTCAAGCTTAAGGGCCAGTTTGGGAACACTTAAAAAATGCAGTTATGCACTTACAAAATAAAATTCCTCACACATATTTATCTCATCGCTTAAAATAAGTGAAACCAAACAAGCACTAAGCTGTAAGGTGTAGATCTAGACCTAGGAATATAATTTCTCTAACACAAATCCTCCAGTTAAAAGCCCCCTAGACTTAAAACACTACTTCCGGTCCTTAATATAAGGTCTAGTTAACTAATCCGGAAAGATTAAAAAAGTTACTAAATTACTTAATTACAGCACGTTATATAATTTCTCTAAAAGACTTGTATGTATCAATAGATTATATGTTAATTTATAAGTGAGGCAAGTTACTTTGGAGGAAAACAATAAATAAATATTTTAAAGTAATTAATAACCTTTTTAATCTCTTCAAATTAATCAAGTAGATCTTATATCAAGGAACGGAGGTAGTAAAAGCAAGGAAAAAGCAGATGCTCAACCTTGTGCTGAAAATTAATGTTTGTAAGAAGAATTATAAGAATAAGGGCAAAGAGGATCACCCTCTGGACTATCTGATCACAGAGGCTTTCACACAAATGTCATTGAACCACACCACACGGGCTCAGGTATGGCTTTTTTCCAAACACAAGAAAAATTATTTTTTCCGGATTGCCAAAGTGTTGAGACTACAAAGGGATTTCACTGTTAGCGCTAGACGTGCAGAAGGATTTGGAATTTTTTAGTTTTTCCCTTTTCATCAAAGAATAATTCATTACATGAGAAAATAATTACAATGCAGAATATCAGCAATCCTTCTAAAAAAGAAAGAAGTTCTGTTTTCTTCTCTCTCTAGTTTCCCTGAATTAAATTCTTGTCTTCAGCCCTACTACTCATTCTCCTGTCCTAGACATGCTTCTCTTATTGATACATTAAAATATTTATAGGATTCAATATTTCCATTAAAAAAAATTTACCATTGCATATAAGTACAAGTAACACAATTTTGCAAGGGTAGTAAGGAAAATATATCAAGAGAGTGAATTTAATATTCCCAGAAACAACAAACCAACCTAACAGAAACTAGTGTCAAGTAGTTATACCTGAGGAAGAAGAAAGAAAGACTCATTTGGCCGATGCACAAGGGCAACAAGTGGGCTCAAACCAGGAGCAACAGTTCTTCTAGCAAGGTGCTTTAGAATTACTCTCAGTGGTGCACCTAGGACCACTTCCCTAACCGATGCAACTTTTAGCAAAAGAGCATATCTTTGATCTGCACCAGATCAACATCACCAAATGTCAAGAGAAGAAAAATACTAGACATACACACACCCACACTAACAACTGACTGTTTGAAAATAAATTTATAGCAGTTTTGACCATAAAACTGATTTTGAACTGAAAGGACAGAACTTGCGCACAGGAATATAGATCAAGGCTATGATTGATCAACCTCAGGCAAAGAGCACATATAGGATAAGAGAATCATAACAATTATGTATAAGAAATTCCCTTAGGTTTTGATTTGTGGCATGTAGTATAAAGGGATGGAGAAGCAACTCTTTTCTATACCCCATTTGGTGGTCAGATACCATCCAAATGTCTGCTGCACCAGTGCTTTTAAAACACAAAAGTACCCATATAAGATTCAGATATTTATATGATATAATATGCACACTGTATTTCATAATACATGGAACATATTCTAACATTTGTATTGTTGTTTTCTTTTGGCCCCAAATGCTATAAAATGACTCGAGCTTATAGAGTATATTATCAATATGAATAAAATGAACATTAACATTTAATTTGAATAATCAATAAAAAAACAATTAATTTGAATTTACAATCATTTTTAATTTATTTTACGCTTTTGTTGGTAACTTATTAAGAGCATCCTTATTTCACATTTAAAATGCATGTTTAAAACTCAAATATATTTATATTAGTCATGTTTAATCTGTTTATGTATTGTACATATATAATTATATATACTTTTTGTGCTGATATCCTAAAACTTTAAAATTTGCTATATCAGAAGTATCCCACATTCATTTCCAATACGCATGACTACATCTATGCACCATAGGTTGCCCGGAAAGGAGATGGAATCCATATCCTTTGGATAAACACACAAATCAAGAATCATTATCGAGCCTAATTTATGCAAATTCCATTATGCCCTTATAATCATTTTTTTAAAAAAATTTTTAAGTAGGGGGTTGCAAAGACCATTTCCCCATCAGATTTTTCCATTCCAACACTATTTTTATTCAACCAAACATAAAAAGGGAATACTCTTCTCATTCTTTTTTATATTATACCAAACATAGCCATTTCATCCAGTTCACTTCCTCATTTCCTTCCATTTCCACCAAAATTTTCTGTCTTCCAAACAGCCCATTACTTTTCCTAGAAACAATATAATTGGAAATGAATAGCCATGAAAATTACCAAAGCATGAAGTGTAACCCAATAAAATTTAAACAAAGACTGATGTAAGATACCAATACAAAAGAAAATATCACAAGAACTATGGCCTGAGTAGGCATGAATGATGCTGTCCAAGATAAGACACTGCTAACCAAGATTCATAAGAAATGACATAACGGAACACTCAGTAATTTATGATAAAATTAATCAAGTATCAGTTCCTTCTAGTTTTCTAAATATAAGAGAAAAACTGTCATCATTGGATTAGAGAGCAATATAAATCCATAAATCCATACAATAGCACATACAACTGCAGCGAACAATGAACACTTTTTCAAACACACAAGCCGGACCAGGAAATATGGGTATTCATAACAAACTAGGCCCTTGGCCCCTTATAATTGTATTATGTGCTAGTTCTGAAACTTTTGCACTCCTAGCACTTTCAAGGGAACCCCCTTGCCCTTGGATGTCTAATAGAATAGGATTCTGCATGTGGCAAGAGCTTTGGAATGGGATTTTCAAGGGAGTGCCATTGTCATGCACGAATAGAGATTAAGTTGCAGTGCTGTCTTGTTCTCTTTCTAAATCATTTTCTCCACTTATGTATCAGTCTCTACTAATTAAATATCTCTTTATCAAAAGGAAGTTATGCGTGTTTAAACGTATTAATATAAAACAGTAAACTCAAGAAATGCTTAAATTAAATAACCCTTTCTCTTCTCTCTGGCTCTCTATCTCCGCAGTGATTCCCTTCTATTTTCCCCTTTGCTTTCCCTCTACCTCTCTCTTTCTTATCTTCATACCATAAGAGTGTTATGGTGTTAATTATATTGTTAGCCGTAGCTTATGAGTTAGTTTGTCCTATCTGTATGAACAGGATTATGAACATTGAACATTTCGGTATCTATCTACACACACACACACACAGAGATCATATGATCAATAGAAGCAAGCAATCCTTTTGAGCATTCCTTCACACACACTCTCCCTCTCCATTCTCTCACTCTCTTCTCTAGTCTCACTTCAACATTCCACATCTAACAAGATTCAAAAAGTCTTGGCACATAGCAAGCATATGATGTTATACTATAAGAAATCTCAACATACCTTGATTTGTAGGAAGCTTGGAAAGATTTATTTTTAATGTGAGGTTAAAGCCATCCCTTGGAGGATCAAGAATTTGTACAGTCGTGCCATATGAAGATTTTATTGCTTCTATGGCTCCAGAAGGAAGTCCACCCATGAAAATGGTTTCTGGAGGAGGGATGGGCAATGATACCGATAACAACAAAATATGCGGATTCTTCATAGTCACCTACAATCATTTTTACTTCGTCAAATGTTAAATGCAAAACTATCAAACATTAACTACATCTAACCAAAACTATAAAGTATCAAATTTAAACAGAAGTTATAAAGAACTGAAAGATTCCATTAAAATCTTTATAATTATTATTACCACAAAGACATGTCATTAGTTACCTGAACATGATATCGAACATCATCAAACTCAAACCAGTGGTAGTCCAATTCAACACCTTTTTCAAGACTGTAGTATCAATATGAGATAAACATTAGTGTTGTTGGGTGACTGATCATTAAATTACGGAAGTTCACACATTACGATAATTTGCTTAGTCAGGTAAGAAACAACTGGAGCAAGAGTTTTTCTACCATCATGTAACAGGAATATACATCGCCATACAGTAGCATTACAATCTGAAATTCAACCTGACAGTTTACACCTTTAACTGACAAATATACATATTGCTATTGGTTAACAGGATAGCTTTGCCTCCAAGCTTGACCAAATTAGAGTAAGGCTGTAGATAAAGCGAGCTCCATGCAAAACTCTCTAATTTAGTTCATTTTTCCAACACGAGAAGATATTATATCAAGTAAAAAAATATAAAGCACCAGCAGGACGAAATATCCTCTAACCGTATTTACATTATCCACTGGGAGGCACTATATTATCAAACAATATTCAGTACAAAAGCATGATTCTCATACTTGATTATTACACCACCCGATTGAACAGGATGCAAGGTGCGAGTTTTTATTTTAGAAAGGTTAGAAGCTCATTTATGAATGACATTATACATGCGATAAGCTCCTGCACCCTTTTCGCGTCAAAAATATTTACAGGAAAATAGAGCGTAAGAACATTGGAATCAATAAAAAATTCATTTCAACACATCAAACCTAAATTTCCTTCCAAAATAAAATTCTGAAACCAGCGAACAAAGCACGGCGTGAAGCTACTTGAATGCTGACCATATGCTACTTATCAACCTTAAAAAGATTGAAATTACAAGTGTTTATATTATCTCCACAAGAAGCAAAACACATTCTCAAAAGCATGATTATACCGCAAAAGAAGAAAGAAAACTCGAAACACGGAGGAGCTCATCATTCAAAGAACAAATAATGCACAAATAAACGCCAAATGCTTTAGGAAAAAAAAGGAATGCATAAATTGAAATTTGAAAAGAAAATTGATAGAGGAGGACGCACTTTTGAATCCGATTCATCAAGGTCTGTAGCAGAAACCTTGAATGAGACTGCAAAAGTAGCATCGATGTCCTTCGGAAAAATCGAAATCAAATGTGGATGTTCCAGTGAGGCACGGAAGAGAGCTGAGCGTAGCTGAGATCTCAATTGCACCGTTGGGGATTCTTTTCTTGACGCTCGGAATTCAGACCGCTGTCAAAATCGAATCCATTTTCTAATCATACATAACTTCCCCCTGTTCCCTATTTTGTATTTTTTTTTTAAGGCTTAATATATAATTTTTGTCCCTCCGTTATTTTAATTTTGATCCTCGACTTTAGAAAATATATTTTAATCCCTCAAAATAGTATAGACTCTATTAAATTATAAAGAACAATATTTTAAATAAAAACTTGAGAAATCAAAACTTATAATATAAAATTAAGGGACCAATAATAAAATAAGAGTAAATTTGAGATACTGAGAGTTGTATTAACTCTTTTTTAAACAATAAAATGTTCCCAAAGTCACCGCATGGATGCATCTTATAACATGCTACCTCAAGTCTAGTTGACTAATTTGAATAGATTAAAAAATTATTTAAATTAATTATTTGAAATAAATGTTGTTTTTTCTATAATATCTTTACTAATCATGTGTAATAGTTAAAACTATTATTTGCTGAAACTTTTAATACGTGCAACTGCTTACCTTGAAAAAATATTGATAAACATAAGAAACAAAGTAGATTTGGCTCTTATATTTATGATTAAATTGAATATCAAACTAACTCTTATATTAATAATAGGAGGAAGTATGAACTCCGCCTACTCAATTAATTTAGGTAGATTAAAATTGTAACAAATATGGGTTGATTTTCAAAAATATCATTTTTAATCATGGCTATTTTAGATGAAAATCTTCTTAATATATGTAATCATTGAGGATATTTTAATGGATGAATTATAAATTAGAAAGATAAAATGAACTGTGGTTTTATACCAATGATCAAATCAACCATCAAATAAGTTTTTTTTTTTAGAGATTTAAACATGGGTAAAGCTAAAAATTTATTTTAGTTTTAGAAAGAGGCAATAAATTAACAATTTGTTTCTTATAAAAATTATCAAAAACAAAGGAAATTATTGAAGCAATTGAAGAGACAAATTCAAAATGATATGATGAGTAAAATGGAAAGAGAATTAAAATTATTGGATCAAAATGAAATGAGAATAACATGGAGAAGAAAAATAACGATGAAAGAGGAAGGACATTTTAAAATAATAGTACAAGTTTAGGGGAGTTGGAGGAAGAAGGGGACATGGGAATGGGAATGAGTCCAACAAGTGGTCTTGGTCATGGTCGGTCATGCCAATGGCTACTTTTTTGGGGATTCACATGCTAATGGCTTTAAAATAAACATTCTGCAGGGATGCGACTCCAGAGAGGCATCCAATTTGTCCACCAGTCCTTTTGTCTTGTGCTGCAACCAGCCCATCAATCATTCCCCCATTTCGCCTTATTTTTACTCTAATACTATTTCTTATTTTATCATATAAATTACTCTATAAAATAATATCATATTTAAAAGAGAAATTATACATTATACAGTAAAACAAATCATCTAAATGCTAATTATTTAAAAATATTTATTATAATATTATACCAAAAACGGTTAACGGGTTTGTGTTTATGACACTGCCTTTGATTCTATTTATAAGACTTCATTTGCAGATTATAAATGAAATCTTATAATTGGAATAGGAGATAGTAAAATCTTTTATGTGGAGAAGGATTTTCACATCTGCCACTTATATTTTTGTAATAAAAATTTAATTTAAAGCCGTTCCAAGGGGAAATCAGTTCCCACAACCATACAGCGCTGCTCTCAAATGACAAAATGATACTTTAATAGATAACAGTATAATTTTAATAACAAAATTTATCTGATATCTGATAATATAATAACAACCATACAGCACTACCCAAAAAAAAAAAATAACAACCATACAGCGCTGCTCCCACAACCATGCATTCGTACAATTTCAAAATTCAATCAAACTATAATAAATAATAAAATTATAATTTCAAAATTCGATAGTTGCCTCAGCCATTTTAATAGCTAGACTTATTTTTTTAAAAAAAAAACATAGCTAATTATGGAACTTTCTATTTGATATTGTTGATAGTATAATACTATAATTTAATATCATAATGAGAAAATTCAAGATCGAGAATTTTCAAAATGTGAATATTGAATTCTTTGTAGTAGTATGTATGAATGAAAAATTAATTTTCAGGCAAAAAAAATGAATGATTAAATAATTTTCAGGCGAAAAAAATGAATGATTAGTTAATTTTAAAAAGAATAGTAAGGAATACCTCCCAAAGATCCCTGGCTTGGACATGGGCTACAGAAGAAATGCCAAGGTTAGCCCAAAGGACTTCAATGTGGGCTATTGTAAGGGGTCCGGCCCACACCTATTCAATCAAAACAATATATCGTATCTTTTTTCCAAGAAAATAATAAAATCACATAATTTACCGCAATTTTGAATCAACTCCCCACCATTTATTTTGTTTGAATCTATTCTGTTATGAGTATTAATCCATGGGTGTTAAAGCTGTTAATTTTAATTTAGAGACTTTTATGAACATTATGCAATTTCCTTATTTTATCTAATGCATATGAGTTTTTTATTTTTTATTTTTTGAAGAATTAAGCAATGGACGTATATAAAACCATAGCATTACCGAAATATTACACATAATTTTTTATTTAATTTTTTATAATTATCCTTACTTCTCATCTTTCATCAAAATCAAAGAAATATACTCTAAATTTTCCTTAAATGCCACAGATTTTTTACTTTCAAAATATTCATTAAATTCCTTAAAAATAGAATTAGGTGTGTTTGTTTTTATCTATAAATAGGAAAATAATAGCAGTCTGCATATCTTTCGATTCCAACATATAATTCGATTGGATATTCAAAAGACACATAAGATTGTTACGCATAGTTTAGTGATTTTGTGTATATGTGTAAGAAAATGGGTCAGTCCACCCTTGATAGATGGGACCCAGACCCATTGACATTTGGGGCTCCAGTGTGAATAGAAAAACTTATGGGTCTCTAATTATGATTTTTCTTTTTCATATATTTTGCCAAAAAAGCAGGAACGGTTGGATGGAGGAGGCAATTTTCTTTTAATTCAAAAATATGCAGTTAGAAAATCGAAGGGGGATCAGTTCATTGTGCCCCCCGATTTTGTTTTCACTCTCCTCCCTCCGTTCTGTGTTCCAAGAAAACTTCCTCCGGTGCATTTGCTGTGAAACATACAGTCTGACTCCAACACCGTGATCAGACTTCTTCCGCGCGTGGCTATCTAAATTTGAGATCATTCAACACTTCAGGTATGCTCGAATTCATCAATGGTATCAAAGCCAGTTTTATATTTCTTGTTGGTGTCATTCTGTGGCCTGCGTTTTATATCAATGTTTTTTTTTTTTTTCTGTTTTTCGGTTCTTAGTATCCTGTGATTTGCTTCAATATACTATGCAAATCCTTTCATTTATTTTCAGTATGATGAATATCTAACTTATATTTATAAGTAGAAATACTGGATTTTCTCTCTGCCTCCATGAAATCTGTTTAACATCGAAAACGTTTTTGGCCGTCTCCCTTGTTCGTCTTTGGGTTGGAGGTTGAAGACAACCTCCAGGGGGCCAAAACGATGTCATTTTGGTACCCTGTAAAAAAAAAAAAAAAGGGATCTGGGCCGGGAGCAGGATCCAGCCTGAAGCAAAAAAAAAGACAGAATTTAAAAAAAACAGATGCAGGCCTAGCTCTGCCTCTGGATCGGGCTGACCCGCCCCAATTCAGTCCAACCCAATTACCAAAAAAACCCATTTCAGTGATTTTTTTATTAAAAAAAACTTTTTTGGGTCCATAATTGCCATGTGGCCAATGCCGCCACGTGGCATTCCATTTGGACACGTGGGTTCCACTACCTGACTGGTAGTGGCTCGTGGAGGCAGCTGAAACGGTGCGTGTCGTCAGTAGAGCCAGGAAAATGGGCCGAGCCCGTCGGACCAGCCCTTTTAGGCCCTGAAATTATGAAGGCCGGGCTTAATATTTTTCTCTTAAAATGAGAAATAAGCCCTGGAGGGCCGAGGGCTTAAAAGGGCCGGCCCTTTTAAGCCCTTTTATAATTTTTTTTATTTTTTAAATTTTTTTATATAATATTAATGTTATTAATTTTTTACATTGTTAATAATATTTCAAATATTTAGTTATTATTATCATTTTAAAATTAAATTTAGTTTTAGACAATAATTTATCCAATTAAATTTTTAAAAAATAGGTTAATTTGGACTTTAATAATGATTTGATTTATATTATATGCGTTGATATTTTTAAACTATATATATATTTGATAATAGAATATTTTTATACTTATATAACTTGTGATTCTATAATTTGAATTAGAAATTCATGAGTTTCAACAACAATGTTTCTCACATTAAAGTAAAATAATAGTTAGATTGCAAAATTTAAAAATAAAATTCTTATCAAGAAGAAAAACTTGATATTTTTGTTACGAAAGAAAAGCATACTTATGAAGAAAAATAATTAATTATAGTGATGATGAAGTTTCAAAAGATTAATGATAGTGTTTATTTATTGCACAATTGCATTATAGATAAAATTTTTAGATGTTGTTATCTTGTTAATGAATGTTTTAGATGTTCTTAGATGTTGATGAATATTTATCTATAATAATATTTTATATTTGTGACTTAATTTTATTCATATTTATGTCTTTTATTAATAATTTCATTGGTTTATTTTTATATTTTTATAAAAAAATGATAAATATAAAAAATAGTATTTTTTCTTAAACGGGCTAAAAGCCCGCGGGTTGGTTCTGGCCCTGTAGCTTAAGGGCCGGGCTTAGCAAATTGGGGTATTTTTAAAATTTTAGCCCTGGAGGGCCGGCCCTTTTAAGCCCACCAGCCTTGAAGGGCCGACCCTGATTCCTAGCTCTAGTCGTCAGTGGACGGCTGCATGGCGGCGCGTGTCGTACACGTGCCAACAGCGCAAGTGGGCGAAAGTTTTTTTTCATTTTTCACAGAATTTATTCTTCTAAGGGCACGTGTCGGTGCATGGGAGGTCCGTTTGAGGTGCGATTTGTCTCTAAAAATC